GGGGGGGGGTCTAATACGGACAACTTATTAACATTTCAAAAATTACCCATCCTTTTAACAGTAAATGTTTTTTAATGGCAACTTATTCGTCATGTTGAATACAATTTATCGCAACGGGCTATTAGCTCTCTCTCTCTCTCCAACGCGAGGAATCGAACCCCAGATTTGGAGCGTTGTAAGTCCATAAACTTATCGGGGGACAACAATCTAAATAAAATGCTGACTGAGAATGTTTTTTTTATGATTCGTTTCTTTGAAGGTAAGCACAAAGCTACACAATGGGCTATCTGTGCTTTGCCCACCACGGGTATCGAAACCCGGTTTCTAGCGCTGTAATTCCGCAGACATACCGCTATGCCACCGGGGAGCTGTTTTAATGATACAACACTGTACAGTATATAAGGTTTGGAATCTAATGCGAGAAAGCATTCTTCACATTTTATTAAATTTAGATTTTCAATCGCAAAAAAAAAAAAAAAATTAACAAAAACGATAAAGAAATTTGATGTGAAATCAGCGAAACAATAGTACGACGTGTTGCTGAAGGAAAAACGATAAACAAATTTGATGTGAAATCAGCGAAACAATAGTACGACGTGTTGCTGAAGGAAAAACGATAAACAAATTTGATGTGAAATCAGCGAAACAATAGCACGACGTGTAGCGGAAGGAAAAACGATAAACAATTTGGATGTGAAATCAGCGAAACAATAGCACGACGTGTAGCGGAAGGAAAAAACGATAAACAATTTGGATGTGAAATCAGCGAAACAATAGTTCGACGTGTAGCGGAAGGAAAAACGATAAACAATTTGGATGTGAAATCAGCGAAACAATAGTTCGACGTGTAGAAAAAAAAAAGTTTTGGTTTTGAAACTAAACAGAGCGTTTCTTCAATAATACCACTTTATTGTAGGTAGATTCAACCACAAAATACATGAGCCGTGGGCAGTTTTAAGAAATTTAAGACAAATAACATGTTCTCTTGACGGACGTTCAACGGAACACACCAAACACTTCTGCAATATTTTGCGGATTATCTAAGTGTAGATATGAAGGTGCTCGTAATTCGATTCGATCTCAAGATGATCCGGTGTATCTAGACGGTGTAGAAGGAGCAAATCCAAGTGTTCTTTACTTGGGAGAGGACAAACTGATATTCCGAAAAATTCCCGCCACTCACTAGCACTAAAGTTTGCTCTAATCTTTCTTTTGTTATTCCAATTTTTCATCCTGTTTCTATAATTATTATTATTAGAATTTTGACGTAATTTTTCAAAAGATTAGAAAGCTTTAATTAAGTGTAACAACAATACAGGACTCTGGAATGATTACAAATATATCTCAAAATGTTATCGTCTTATCTCCCGAATGTTAACGTTATATACATACACACACATGCTTCTGTTCATGTTACATAACAACCCGGATGAACAATTAGGGCTACTCGTATAATTGCTTTTAAGTTCAATTTTCGGAATATCGGATTGTAACCTCTCGAGTGGTGGTGGTACACACTAGGGCACCACGTGTCCTATTGGTTGATGCGAGACGACATCACGAGGTACACTGTCAGATAGTGAGGATGGTAAAATCGCTGAAAATCTTGAAGCAGAATTTCTAACCGATGTTTGAATGTCGATAATACTCGAAACAATCGACGTGTAGCACCAACATATTGTATTTAAAAAAGAAAATAAAAAAAAAGTTTTAACGTTTCGGACGCTTTAGTTTTTCCGACGTTTCTTACTGCTATTATTTTATACGAGGTTTCTTGCGAGAACAAGTCCTCAGAAATTACTTGAAAAAAAAAAGTAATGAACTGGGTTTCCTTTGGACAAAATTTTGACGTCTGTTTGCTTTTCCCCCGCGCTTATATTTTCTCTTCAAAATTTACCAGCTGCACTTTTGGAAAAATAATGAAATATTTTAATCACTGCAACTTTCAAACTGTATTATATAATTTCGCGATAAAAACTGTTCGAAACGAACGAAACGATTACCTTTTAAAGTTTCAGATTCACTCTTGCTATTGTTCTTTTTGGTCTCTCGCAAGCATCCACCAATATTAAAATTCCTTCTAGCTCCATTGTTTCTACTGGTCGATAGATGGCGTGAAACAGTGGATTTTGGTGATAAACAAAAAATAATATAAACACCTTCGTAACCGTGAAACCTAACCCTAACAGAAATTAATTGTTATGTACACAAGCTGTTGACGTCCGGTTAGTATTTGTTTCTACTATAAAAGACAAGATGGCGCTCTCACACAGCTTTGATGGCCGAATTGGCGCGAACCTTCCCTTTTCGAACTCCTCCTGCTGATACTGAGCCTTTAAGGATTTTCAAACAGTCCTGTTCACAGAATACATTGCCGTTGACCAAGTTGTAGCGGTCACCAGGCACCAACTGGTTACGACACTTGACACAAACGAAACATTTGAGGTGATACACGTTCCCGTGGGTCCTCATGACGAACTCGTTAGCAGGAATCACCTGACCACAGGCACTGCAGGCACCGGTGTTGCCAAACATACTGTGAGAAAAAAAACAACAACAACATTATTAACGGGAAGGAAAGAAACGGAAGTTTCGGAAGAAATACGAATCGCTAGCAAGTTAAACACGTAGGTAAGATGTTAAACAAACGCAGAACTACCTCGTTGTTTGAATATAACTAAAGTTTAAAAGCATTTGATAAGGTGCCACACAAAGATTAGGTAAGAAAAATCACATCCATAGGGTGTGGGAAAGACTAATTAATTGGACTGTAGGAGTGTTGACACTGTATGGTTGGGTGAAAACAAAAGGTTGTTAATTATAGTATTTTGGCACTTGTGTATAAAGTTAAAATCATAAATAATATTCAACGTTAAACCGGTACACAGTTAAAAACATTTTATTTAGGCCTATCTATGGCTTTCAAAATAGTTGACGACTCTACATGTTTCGACGTTACAACGTCCTCCTCAAAGGCGGAAAAAGTAGAGTCGTCAAAATTTTG